GCTGCGGGGCAATGTCAGCCGGGGCATGGAGCGGCCCTGGGTGCCCTGGGAGCTGCGGGGCAATGTCAGTCGGTGCAGGGAGTGGCCCTGGATGCCCTGGGAGCTGCGGGGCAATGTCAGTCGGTGCAGGGACCGGCCCTGGGTGCTGTGGGGCGCTGTCAGCCAATGCACGGACCGGCCCTTGCTGCCCGGAGGCTGCCACAGCTGCGGGCGGGAGGAGGAGGAGGAGGTGTGGGATGGAAGCAGCTGCCCGGGCAGGGTGCTGGTGTGCCTGGTGCCATCCTCCTGTTGGCCTCTCTCGCCATCTCTCAGCTGGTGCCTCTCATTGGGACTCTGGGGACTGGGGTTCTGCTCCTCCATGGCTTGTTTTCCTGGGAGCTGGTGTCCTGGGAAGCTGCTACTTCCCGAGCAAGATGTTCTGCTTGAGTGGGTAACCCAGGGGGGCTCCTTAAACACCCCATGGCTGCTGTGTCACAATGGCCCCTTGGTGTCATGAGGCCCTGCATCACCCAGTGCAGTGTCAGGTGTCTACAGGGGTGGCTTCTGTGAGAAACTGCCAGAACTTTCCCCATGTCCAGCAGAGCCAACGCCACCAGCCCCAGGCTGCACCCACTGCTGGCCAAGGCTGAGCCCAGCACAGAAGGTGGTGACACCTCGGGGGTAAAAGGGTTAACTGCAGCCCATGGGAAGGACTCACACTGGAGTTCTTGGAGCACTGGCTCCTGTGGGAGGGACCCCACACTGGAGCAGGGGAAGGACTACAACCCCTCTTCCTGAGCAGGGACAGAAACAACGTGTGATGAACTGACCATGGCTCTCATTCCCCATCTCCTTGTGATGATGGAAGGGAGAATGGAGAGCCCAGGAAGGAAAGGGAGGGAGGGGAAACGTTTTTAAGATTTCTTTTACTTATCATCCTGCTCTGATTTTGACTAGTAATTGATTTCCCCAAGTTGAGTCTGTTTCGACAGGCAGGAGAACAAGCAGAGAGCCTGCAGGCCTGCTTGCTCTCCAGTGGGAATTCCTGCAAGGAAAGAGGGAGTTCTGCAGGCTTCTCCAAGGCTGACACAAGGGAAAATTCACCCCAGTGGGGCAGCATGTTCCCCTTTCCTCACCAGGCAGGCAGTGGTGCAGGAAGGAGCAGGTGACTAGAACAATCTGACTTTATTGGTGCAAACACTGGGCTTGGGTGAGTGGAATATTCCCAAGTGCTCCCAGGAAGCTGCCCAAGGTGCAGGGGTGCACAGAGCCAGCAGCCTGCTCCCTCCAGGTGTTCCTGCTGCAGAGTTCAGTCTTCATGGATGTTGAAGAGCTTTGCTACTTCATTGAGGTCCTCGTGCTCCTCCCCGTCTTTGATGATCTGGAGGAAGGAGAACACATTAAATCCTGCACATCCCATAAAGAGCCAGTGCTGCAGGACTGCCACAGCCAATGCCAGGAACTCCTTGGATCCTCTCTGAAGCACCAGACTGAGACAGCCACAACACGACAGCACTTTCTACACCCAAATTCACATGGGAGTCTTAAATGTACCAGCACCTGCCTACAGGAACAGCAGGAAAACCAACCTCCTGTCCCTGTGGGATTTGTTTCTGGGTTTCCCTTTAGAGCCAGGGAGAACAAGTGCTTTAAAAAGGGATTCAGCTCTGCAAAGGTGAGCCTGGCATTGACTTGGAGCCAGGATATCTGGCTTGAACCTGAAACTTGCAGACAAGATGAAGAGACCATGGATTTAGAGTAATGACAAGGAAGGAAGGAAGGAAGGAAGTCCCTTCCACAGGGATGGCAGAAGCAACGTGTTTCAACTGCATCTTCAGATTAGATATCAACAAAGACATCTACCATGAATAGTTTGTCTTGGGACAGATCACCCGAGGGTAACTGTGGTCTGAAGTGATCCCAAGGATCACTCCCACAGTTTAAACAACCAAAATTCTTCAAAGGTGTTAAAACCTGACCAGAGTGTGGCTCAGCTGAGCTGGGAGGTCCAGGATACCCCCACAGGGTGGGGCTGCTCCAGCCCTGCCATGGTGGCTGGTTTTGGGATGGTGACATTTGAGACTCTTTCAGACACTTGGACATGGGACAAAGCAGCACAAAGATGGGACATTCCACTGTCACTGTGACTCCAGCCTGTACTTACTACAGACCTGGAATTTCAGCCATGCCAAGGCAAGGCTTGGAGCACACACCTGATTCGAGTTATTTCTGTAAAAAATATGCAAACATACAAAAAAGCACAGGGACAGCTTCCCTAATTCACCCAGAACAGTGCCCAGCTCTGCACCAGACACAGCATCTGCCTTTATTTATCCTCACTTGGAATTGACAGATTGATTTTTCCACAAGGAAAGCCCTGCTCTAGCAAACCCCCCTGTCCATCACCCTCGCCCTGCACTGACCTTCCGAGCAATGGGCATCCTGTTGAAGATGTTCCACAACACGATTCCCACCACCACTTTATCCCTGAGGTAGAAAATGACACCTTTGCCGTAATCTTCTCCTTGCTTTGGGACTTGAGGCGTTGGTGAAGAGCTTTGAGAGATCTGAACTTCTGAGGCTTCCGCTTCCGTTTCGCTCTCAGATCGAATTCCAGTCCCTAAGGCAGAAACAGGAGGAGTCACACACCCAGTGCAGGCCATGTGATGATGGCAGCAGACTCAAGAGCGTGTTCTGCAGGAGCCTGAGGTGTTTCCTTTGAGCTGTTTCCCAAAAGTTCAGTTTCATTAACACAGGGATGAAACAATCCCAACATGGAGCTCAACACTGACAATCCCCAACTTCCACCCCCAAATGCAAAGGACAGCACAGCCTGCTTCCTCCAGGCAGTAGATACAAACTAAACATGCCTGGATCCAGAGTCTCTCTTGTCCCCAGCTGATCATTTTATTGCCATAGAGATCAAACTTCCCTGGGAAAGTCTGCATGGCAGTAGAGGCATTCCCTGATATCTTCTTGGACGAATGTTGTGTTTTAATCACATTTTAATATAAAAGCCAGCCTTTAAAGCTTGGTCCAGAAACGAGGCAGCAGATTGCTGTTTCCTCGTGCTCTCGGAGGTCAGGGTGACTCTGTGCTCCCCACACCAGCACGTGCAGGAGCTCCCCAGTCCCTACCTGACTGTTCTGTCGCACTTTTGGGCGTGTCCTTGGCCGTGGCCTTGGCGAACACTCCCACTGTGGGCAAACTGCTGTCCACGAGGCCAATGGCTTCATAGCCCACGTTGGGGCCCAGGTCACTCCTAGGAATGAAGTGGAAATAAAGGAATTTGTAGCAGTAGTGAGACAAATCCAAGGCAGTTCCATCCATCCGTGCTCCACTCCTTAATCCAGCGTGGCGAGGGCGATGCTGGACACTGACACACGGAGTCTCCTGTGCACACACAGCTGGAACAAGGACACAAGACATGACAAGCCCATGGCCACGAGCTTCAGAAAAACCAGCTCACTGACCAGAACCTTGAAATCCTTCAGGCCTGCTCCCTGGGAGGCAGCTGGCAGTGCTGTTATCCACACCAGGCTTGGCAGCATGGACAATCATTCCGTGAAGATTTTTGAGAGCATTTAGAAAAGACTGAAGAGAAGAAAACCTTGCCCTAACACCTTCTTGAACTGGGCACCTGGATCTGAACTGGGGTGCTGACAGGAGACAAAGCAGCTGTGGTTTGGCACCAGTAAGTACCAGGTGTCTGAAGCGTTTCCCAGGATGCTGAGGAAACAGGTGCATCACAAACCATGAACCTATGCACAACACAACCTCCCCAGAATCCTCCAGCACACACTGGAGTTGCTGCAAGGAGCACGAGTAACCTGGCACATGAGATCAGCTGGAGCTCAGGAGGGATCATGGAATTTCATTCCTCTCTTCTGCCATGGGCAGGGACAACTTCCAATATCCCAGATTGCTCCAAGTCCTGTCCAGCCTGGCCTTGGTCAGTTCAAGGGATCCAGGGGCAGTCACAGCTGCTCTGGGCACCTGTGCCAGGGCCTCCACACCCTCAGAGGAAAGGATTCCTTCCATATATTGAACCTAAATTTCCCCTCTGTCAGTTTGGAGCCACTCCCCCTTGTGCTGTCACTCCAGTCCCTCTCTGGCTTCCTTGCAGCCCCTTCAGACACTGGAAGATGCTGTGAGGTCTCCACAGAACCTTCTCTCCAAGAGGATCAGGATCCTGAGCATACTCACACAATGCATGAGGAATTCCTGTCCTTTCCCAGCTTTTCAGCACGGGGGAGGGAAGTGTCACTCAGTGAGGGCTGGCACAGTGTGACACTGGCACAGTGTGACACCTGCCAGCAAACACGGGGTGTTCACAGCCCTCCTTCCTGCACCTGCATCTGGTCATGGCTGGGAGCACCCCAGGGGAAAGGAGCCCTGGGAATGGCTGTCTCTGTATCCTGAGCTGCACTCCATCACCTCTGAAGTCTTTGCCAACCTCAAGGATTATGTGGCTCTACGTTTCTTGTTTAAAATTAAAGTGAGAAATGCTCTGGGCCCCAAGTCCAGGCAGGACAGACCAAGAGTTCGGGTAAGTGACAGCAAGTCATAAATAATTTCTGTGGGGATTTCCCTGAGAAAACAAACTCTTTTACCCATATTTAGAGTTCTGTTAACAAACATGATTTGGGATTTTTAATTGGGCTGAGCTAACAGCCTTTTGGATTTTAATTTTTTTGGGGGCTTTTTTTTTTTTTATGTTTTCATTCATTTTGTTTTAAAAAGAACTTCAGGAAAATATAGCAAAATTACCCATTTTCCTGATACCTCTCTCTAGAAAAAACTTTTCAGATGCATCAAATTTTTGTCACTAAAACATCAGTTCAGTAAAGTGCAACACTCAGATCGACAGATTGGGCTGGGGAACTTCAGATAATCATAACAGAAAAGCTAAGCTCTAATTCTAAATGCTGCAAAATTCAAGCTGTAAATCAGTCTGCTCTGAGGAAAGAGCTGTTCTGTATTGCTCTGAGGAATGGGACTCATTCAAGGAGAGACTGGGATCTGCAGGAAGGAAAAACACTTGAGGGACGTGAGGGCAGAGCAGCAAATGCAAACGCTCAAACACAAATGCAGCAATTGCAGCAAATGCTCCCTGCCCTGAGCTTTAGGAACCCGAAGCTGTACAAGGTGTTTGCTGAGGTGCTGTCACTCCTCTTGGGAAACACACACTCCTCCAAGTGTGCCTTGTCCAAGCTCCTGCATCGTGGCCAAACGAGGAACCCCCCCAAGAGCAAAGGACCATTACCAGAACATGGACTGGTGCCAGTAGGGCTTTGCAGCTCCTGTCATGTTTTCTCCAGCCAGTCTCCCGCTCACCACGGCGTGGTCGTGGTGCTCCACGCGCCGCCGGCCCAGTTTGATGTCATAGAAGCAGGCAGCATCCCCTGCCTGCGAGAGAAGCAGCCCCTGAGCACCCCGACAGCGACAGCCTCCGGCAGCTCCCCAGCAAAAACCACGGGGAGAACCACAAGTGCAACGAGGAACTGAGTTCTCCTGACAAGCCCCAGGCACCACCACTACCTCATCCCACTCCCTGGGCTACACAACTCCCAGTTTTTCTCAGCACTTTTCCCTGATCTTTGGAAAAATAAAGCAGCATGAGGTACGTTTTCCAGAGGAATCCGAGTCTCAACGCCCACCAAGGGACTCTTATGCAAGCGAGTGATCCAGGCTATCTTTAGGTTACCCCAACTCCTCTTACACAGCATAAATATTCCAAACTTGCCGTGGTTACCACGGCAACGAGGTGGCTGCAGAGCCTGACCGGGCTCTGGGCGTGCGCTACAACCGCTCTGCTTCCTCTGCTTCCTCTCCTCACTCGCTCCTTTCACCCCGCTCACCTCCTCCCGTCACCTCCTCCTGTCACTGTGTGTCCCACTGAGCAGCAGCACTGCCAGCCTGGGCCCACACTCACCCCCCAGATGTTGTGCCAGGCTGTGCCCACACTCACCACCCAGATGTTGGAGCGTGCCTGCAGCTCCGCGTTCACCCGGAACCCCCCGAAATCCGAGTCCACCTCCAGCCCCGCTGACTTGGCCAGTTCCACGTTGGGCTCCAGCCCCACGGCAGCCACGATGTGATCTGTCTCCACCTTTGGGAATGCAGAATCAGGATGTAAATTCCCCGTGTGCCCCTGAGCGTGACCCTGTCCCTGCTCCCCCCTTTACCTTCCGGCCGTCCTTCAGTTTAATCAGCAGCCGCTTCCCAGACACTGACACGGATTTGACCACGGCGTTGGGCAGGACATTGACCCCCTCTGGAAACGAGCACAGGAGCCCTCGCTGCCTGCTCAGCCTGGCACATCCCACCTGCAGCAGCTGCTGGGTGAGGAACCAAGACAGAGCTCGGCAGCTCTGGGGGAAGCATGAGGAGAAACCCAGCTGGAAAGTCTGAAAGCTGCTTAAATGACAACCCAAAGTACATCTCATGTGATGACACGGCCACATCCAAAAGAATTCCCTAGAACAGGAACTAAGGACACTCAATTACCTATTGCTGTGCTGCAGCCAGACCCAGAGTCCAACAAAGCAGCTTCCAAAAAACAAAGTAACTCAGAGCTGTGGCCCTGCAATCCACACCCCAGTGACATTCCTCCTCCCTCTCCACTTGCCAGTGCACAGGATTATTTTGCACTTAATGCAGCAAATGGAAAAAGGTTGTCTTGGATCTTACTGACTTTATCAGCTAAACACTACAGCACCTGGCCAGGTGTGTGCACAGCACAGAGATCGTTCCAGGGAAACAGGCACAGGGACTGAAAGCCTCACTGGTAAAAGCAAGCCTTTTGCTCAGCCTTCCCAGAGGAACTGCCAAGAAGCCCAGGATTCATGGCAGCTCTGTGCTGCCTAAGCTGCCTGAACTGCAACTTCCCCTGTGCTGCAGCTGGGCCACTCTGCAGGGCCCAGTCCTCCCAGGGCTCCAGGGACAGAAGGGACACGGATGTCCCCAGGAGCAGCTGCCAGCAGCCACCAGCCCAAACCCGCTCAGCAGCTTCACCTCTCCTGACTTTCTCTGTGGTCCAGTTGCTCAGGTATTCGGGCAGGACTTTGCCCATGTTGCCCTTCTCTGGAAACAGCTGGATCACCTCCAGGCCTCGGGTTCGTGCTGGAAGGGAAGCACAGAGCAGCAGGATAAAGAGCAGCAGCAGATGTTGGGACACACACGCTCTACTTTACACAAGGTGCTAGAAGTTTCCAGATCTGGGAGTTGTGACTCCCAAGGAGCCACAAAGTGACTGACTACTGTTTCACATACACCTGCAAAGTCTACATAACAGACTTTTAGGGAAAATGCTTGGTATTTTGGCAAACACTTTAAAAAATTATCATAAAGGCTCTAAGCACACACTGACAGTTAGAATCCAGCTGCTCCCCAGCTCTTTGAAATCACAGAATTATGGAATACTTTGGGTTGGAAGGGACCTTAAATAGATCATCCAGTTCCAACCAGTCTGAGGGTGGCATTGAGCACAGAGATCAAATGTGACTTTTCAGAGGGTGGAATGACTTTGCAGCTCCCACCTCTGTGGTCAGGGGCTGCTAATGAGGGAGAGACTGGGAAAACCTTGGCCACACAGGCAACCAAACACCCGTGTGTTGTTTCCTTTGGGCAAACACGGTCTCTGCAAAAAGTTTCTTTTCCCTGTCACAGCTGGGGACGCACACTCACCTCTCCTTCCCAGAGCACAGGCCAGCTCACTGCCCAGGAAACCACCACCAATAATTGTGATGGACTTGACTTCCCTGGAAATCTTCTCCAGCCTTCGGAAGTCATCGATCTGAAAGAACATTTATCCCCATTTGCAATCCTCTCTAACAGGAATGGCAGCAGAAAGAATTCTGGTCACATTCAATGGCTTTTATTCACTTTGGAAGGTGCAGCAGAGTCACACAGGAGGAAAAATTTTAAAAATACCTAAACCCCTGTTAAAGCTCTCGGGCTGAGGCAAGCAGGGGAGTGGTTGAGTAGACTCTACCCTGGTTTCCTGCCTGGGACAAAGAATAAGCAGGAATGGATTCCTGGGCACCATCTGAGGGAAGCAGTGCCAAGGCAGGACCATCCTGACCCAAAGCAGAAGAGTTTAAAAACTGAACACAGTGGTAAGTGGCTCTGATTTACTGAGCCTCCCTGAATGGGGCTGGAGGTTACCTTTCTGAACAGGGTCAGCCTTTTCTGCACGTCCTTTCCTGCTCTTTCAATGGCAGGCAGGTTCCTTGGGGATCCCCCTGGGCACAAGGAGGAGAGAAGGGACACGAATGACACCACAGCCATGGCACTGGATATCCACACAGTGCAAAGCTGTCTCGGATCTCAGCTGTGCTTCCCAAACTGTTCCAGTGTGGGAATATCCCAATATCCCTGCAGCTGCCTGAATGTCCCAGAAAATCTGATGATGCAAGGCAGGTGAAAAACCCAGCATGGCCGTCTGCACAAGTGTCCTTCATGTGACTGCTCCACATCATGTTTGACACTGCAGAGACTTCTCAAATAGAACCAAGGAATCCCACAAGGGTTTGGCTTGGAAGGAACCTTAAAGCTGATCCAGTTCCACCCCCTGCCATGGGCAGGGACACCTTCCACTATCTCAGATTGCTCCAAGCCCTGTCCAGCCTGGCCTTGGACACTTCCAGGGATCCAGGGGCAGCCACAGGAAGAATTCCTTCCTTCAATGCCAGACCCTATCCCTCTGGCATTCTGCATTGTCCTGTCACTGCAGACGCTTGTCCAAAGTCCCTCTCCAGCTCTCTTGGAGCCCCTTTAGGCACTTGAAGGCTCACAGATCTCCCCAAAGCCTTTTCTTTTCCAGGCTTGACTCCCCCAGCTCTCCCAGCTTGGCTCCACAGGGGAGGTACTCTAGAGAATTTAGCTAAATGTCACTGAAATAAAAAGCCTGGCACAAGACCACGAACAAGAGAAGAAACACAGCACTTACCAGTGGCAATGAGACATTTGTCATAGGATATCTGGGTCCCATCATTGAGCTTCACCGTGTTCCCTCTGACATCCATGTGCACAACCTGCAAGATGAGCCCAGCTGAGCTCCAGCTCTTCACTCCATGGACTACTGAGCTGCAAACTTGGAATTAACATTCCCACATCTTTAGGTTTAAAGTAGGGGCAGGAGTGGGGAAGTGAGAGGACTGGAAGTGGGAATTGAGACTTCTTTGGGAGTCACCATAACTCAGGTTGATCTTCCCAGAGTCTGAGTGTTGAAATGGGCTCAGACACAGCACAGCTCAGCAGGAAGAGGAATCACTGACACTTATCATAGCAGCATACAAACAACTGAAGATATAAATATTTTAAAAGGTTCACCTGAATTTCTCCACCTTCCTGCTGCTTTGGCACAGTGTCCCTGCTCACCTCATCACCCACTACCTCGATCTCTGTGCTCTCCTCACCTCACCTCCACAGCCCACACCGCCCAGTTCTCACCTGGCACACCCCATCTCTAAGGTCTACATATTTTTGTCCCATGCCCAGACTCCAAACTTATCCTTCTCTCTTCCTCATCATCTTCCTTCAGCTCACTGCTATTCCTCTTGGCTTCTCCCTCTTTCAAACTTCATTTCAGATTAACATAATCTCTGCTCCATCACATTTCCCCCAAACTTACCCAAATTCCCCTTCCCAGCCAACTCCCCCTCCAACTCCAGTGGTTCAGTACCAGCTTAGAGTGCAGGCTCTGCTCAGGAAGAGCTGTAGTTACAACAGCCAGTGCTGTACCCACCTTCTTGCCAGGCAGAACTGCCACCCCACCATTTTCCACAGAAGACAGGTCCTGGACAGGCACGTAGAAAGACGGTGGCTGGAAATAGATACTGAGAAAAGCTCCATTACCAAACAGGTTCCCCTGGCTCTGGGATACCAGAAATCCAACCAGACTAAGACAGCTCTGTGCACCCATAACAAGCCCCACAATTATTTATCTATTTTAAGAATTAGGGTCTGCACACTGTTGAAGTTTAAGGGTTTGGATCACGGAATTGTAGAATTGGTCAGGTTGGAAAAGACCATGAAGTCACAACCACCAAGTAAGGCTTAATCACAGAAGTCACAAAAATCAAGTGTGGTTCTGTGTCCCTGGACCTCTGCTCTAACCTGGGGAGCTTCACCTTTGTTAATTTATTTCCCAGGACTGCTGCCCATGCAGGGACATGTCTAAGGGGAATCACAGCAGGCATTGAGTACTGAGCGAGCTCCGGTGGGAAGCAGAATTCCTCAACCCTGCCAGCACCAGCACACCCCTCCCTGCCCCTCACTGGCTGGTGGCTCCTTCCCAAGAGCAGTTTGGTCATTGTCACCTTGTCCTGACCACTCTCCCCTGCCCTGCCCCCTGCAGTGCCAGTACCTCCTCTCCTTGCCGTTCCACTGCTTGAACCGCAGCGTCTCTGTCACGTTGGGGTCATCGGAAAACCAGAGCTCTTTGGAAAGGGGTGGGCGCATGTAGGGCAGGGCAGGGTCCTCAGACACAATCAGCACCTTCAATGGGCCAGGAGACACATGAGCTGCAGCGAGGGCAGGCAGGCAGGCAGGCACACACACAGGCTCTGCAGCCTTACCCGTGCTCCAGGATCGCGGGCCCGGATGGACCTGGCAGCAGCGAAGGCAGCAGTTCCTCCCCCGATGAGCAGGAAAGGGACGTGGGATGGCACCTTGGGAGGAGCTGCAGGTGACAGATGGGACAACTTACTGCAAATACAGGCACACAGCCCAGCCCCAGGGCACAGAGTATGGCACCAGGGGCCTCCCACGCCCAGACTTCCTTTGGAAATTGTTCTCCTCCTGCCCAGTACCCTTCCCATGAACCCCGCTGCTGCTTCCCCCAGAGCTGCTCCCTGCAGCCATCAGTCAGATTGCAACAAACTGGTTCTTCTAAGCAAGCCCGAAACTCTGCACTGGCCAATCAGTGAACAGTTTATAAGAAAGGGAAGTTCCCCAAAAGGCCAAGGCACGTTTTTCTGTAATTTTTTTCAAGGAGACAACTTTTGAGTTCCTGCAGGAGGCACCTCCTCCCACAGGCAGGTCCCGTTGCTGAGCAACAACACAGTTAATCCGTGGGCAGGGACAAACCAGGCAGTTCAGTATCAGCACCAGAACTCACCTGCTGTGCCCTCAGGAGCAGCACCTGAAAGGGAAGAAAGACACGGCTTAAGTTAGGAAAGCACAGTTTGGGAGCTGCAGTTCAGGGCTGACTCCACCAGCCAGGGAAAAAGGCCCTCTGGAATCAGTGTCCTTGCCAGACTGTGCAAAGGTAAAAGCCAGAAGCAGGGCTCGCTCTCTTCTCTTTTTATCACAGGAGAAGTAAATGACAGAAATCAGCCCCAGGAGACATCCTACTTCATCCTCAGGAAAACAGCCTGTTCTGGGTCATGGAGCCAGCTCTCTCTGCTGTGCTGGAAGTCACAGAACAACAGGATCCCAGAATGGGTTGGGGTGGGACACATCTCAAAGCTCATCCAGTGCCACCCCCCCGTCCCCCACGGGCAGGGACACTTCCCACTAGACCAGGCTGCTCCAAGCTTTGTCCAACCTGGCCCTGAATGGGAATTTGAAACAACGGCACACACTGAGAGGTGCCATCCTACAAAGGCACAGCTGTGATTCCAGAGAGGCTCTGTTCTGTTTGTTTTGGAGGCCTGAAGCTCATGAAGAGCAGCCCAAGCCCTGACCTGGCAGGCTGGTACCCACCCGAGGACGCATCGTCCTGGGATCGCCGGCTCATCCTGGACATGCGGCTGGCGTCGCGCTCTTTGCTCTCCTGCAGAGTTCTGTACACCTGCAGACAGACACACAGACAGACAGGAGACATTCACCTGGAACCTCACAGCACCGAGGCACCACCCTGCTCCTGCCCCTGACAGGCTTTTGTCCACCCCACGTGCTGGAAAAGCCAGTGGCAACGTGTGGGGCAAAACAGAGCTCCCTGGACAAGGTGCCCATTGGGAAGGTGCTCAGAAAATGACCTGGTGTGATGAGCCTTGGATGTCTGGCTGCTTCCCAGAAGCAATGAACCTTCCTGCAGGTGTTTGGCTGCACACCTGTTCCAAGGGGAACCAGCTCCAAGGAAGGAAATGCAGCCAAACCAGCCCCAAGACCCCCATGTAAGCTGAGCCATGACACAACACGAGGCTGCAGAAATGGAAGACAAAGCCAAAGAAAAAGCATTCCCCAGCTTCCAAAGCCCAGAGCCAAGAACCTGGCAGGCATGGTGTGGCAGGACACCCTGACATTAGCAGGACACTGAGCCATGGAAGTGGAGCTGCTCCAGGCATTGGCCCTTGGACATGGAATCTCTCCCAGCTGAATGCTGGGCTGGTTATTTGACTGTGAAACTCGGGATACAGCATAAGCAGAGCCTGCATGTACAATTTACTGGTACAGACAAGCAGGGAACATCTCTGACATCATGTTAACTTCCAAGAAAAACTGGTAATGGGCAGGAGCTGAAGACACTGGGAATGCTGGGAGCAGGTCAGAGTCCAGTGTTTTTCCCCATGGGTAAAAACTTAGAGGTAAGCAAACCTTCCTTTGAAGCAAAACCCAGCCTTGCTAATAATCTCTGTCATGTGCACGACATCAAATTTCATTTGCCCATGCTCACAAGTTGGTGTTTTATAGCAAATTGTCTCAAACAAGAATGGAGGAATTTAATGCCACGCACAAAAAAAAGAGCACAGGACAAAAGCCTGTTCAGGGAACTGGAGAAATGTCAGAAATATTCGAAAACAAGAACTTGTCAGTGTTTAGAAAAATTAAGATAAAGGTATTTTAAAGCCTTTTGCTCAAAGACAGAAAAGCCAAGGTTAACAAACCACCTCTGCTTTTACAAGCAGAATCAGGAAGGTTTTAAGCAAGTCCAAAGGGCAGCATACAGCAAATTAAATCTGCTCCTTTAGGGAAAAACACTACTATGCCCAGGCAAAACATCAGATCAGGCCTTGAGGATAAACATTTCCAATGGGACAGTGTGAAGTTCCTTCTAGTCAGAAGCACAGCTATACTTTGCCAGGACATGGGGTGATGTTTCATTGCTCTTCCCTGAGGAAATCCCCAAGTTGGACAAGTTTTCTTGCCTTCCCTTTGGCACACTTATATTCAGGTATTATTTCCTTTTCTGCATGCCAACATTACTGATAGCAGGAGAGGTGCACTAATTAATAATTTGTGCCTTTACACACTTAGTTACAAACCAGAGATGGCCAGTTTGAGTTCAGATTGACTTAATGTGGAAAAGTTAATTCTAAGGCACGTTTCCCCACTTAGAACAGCACCACATGAAAATACTCAATTTGTAACCATAAATTATTTGGCAATGTCCCTTGAAAATGAAGTACCTGAGGCCAGGGAGCAGGAAGAGGGCTGGGATTGAAGGGTCACAGGGTGGGAGGTACAGACAGGAGCCCCCCTCCACCCTCCCACCCCACAAACACCTTTAGTGAAGGGTCTTACATAAACTCCTGTCCCAGTGACTGTTCCTCCCACTATTAAGTATAACAAGAGGTTGCTGCCAGCTTTGCCAGGAACACCTGAAGACGCCAGGGATCTAGAAGGGCACCTTAGCTGATGGCATTGCAAAACTGCAGGGGAAGACAGGCAATGGAAGAGAAGAGGGAGAGAGCTGAATATTAGGAAGGATTCTTGATTAAACAGGTCTTGGGAAAAGCAGTGTGCTTTGTAATTTCAGCTACCTTGTCTGTCAAAAAAAAAAAAAAAAAAGGGCAGCAGGGCATAAGAAAGAATTATATTTGAAGGAAATAGGAAATATTTTTCTTCCATGTGCTGTTTTGAATTCTCCTTTTCCCCTTTCCCAGGAAATTCCTTAGGAGAAAGTTGGGATTTGGAACTTTTAATGAGTATGATCCTCCTAGAGAAAAAGCTTGGAAACAAAGATTGGTGTGGTGTAAACTTGGGATTTATCACTCCCAGGCAATGCTCTCTGGGAATGTCATTTACTCCCTCAGTGAGGCTCCAAACCTTTATCCTTTCCAAGTAGAACATAAATGCTCCCCAGCTGGGGGTTGATTTGGTATACTTACACAAGTTAAACAAATGTTCTGAACTAAGATTTGGCAAGGAATTGTTTGTTCCATACAAGACAACAGACAGAGCTGTGGCTATTCATAACACAAAAAAACCCAAGAGTGCCTTTAAGGTAAAAAAAAAACCTTAAAAGTAACTGAAATTACAGTAAAACCCAAGTAATCACAATAAGCTAATTTCCATTTAGCTCCCCTTGAATTTTTCTGAAGGAGGAAACAGGGACAAAACTACAGAGACCAAAAGTGAGTGAAGAGAGCTGGAATACAGCAAACGCTCGACAGGAGAGCTGGACTGGGGCTTCTTCCCAGGAACCACCTTTCTACTTACATAGGCACCCGTTCCTAAGGCAGACAAGCCCACAATAAGGACAAAAACCGAATTACTGCCCTTTTGCCCAGGCACGCCTGTGCCAGCCATTTGTCTGCTCAGCTGCAGGTCTGGGGGCACATTCCAGCGCTGCAACAACGGGCCTAAGGAACACAATTTACCGGAGAAACAACACAAAAACACTGTCAATACAAAGGTAAGTCTGGAAATTTAGAGGCTAAGTCAGTTCTGAGCCCAAATTCCTCCTTTGGAAGACCCAGCCCCGCATCTGAGCGACCGCGGGGCTTTATCCTGAGGCACAGCAGTGTGCAGCTGTGGAGAGCAAAATATCTGTGAGATCAAGGGGTAAGTGAATAACTGATAACAGCAGCATCTCTAGCAGCTGGAAGGGCTCCTGCAGCCGAGCACAGATGTGAACTGGTGGTTCCTACACCTTCTCCCGGCCTCTCCTGTCCGAGGATGCACCTGGCTCCAGCAAAAGCAAGCAGAGAGCCTCAGGTAACGAGTGCGGGCAGCAGGGCTGGTTACACCGGCACCATCTGCTCACACGGCCCATTCCGCCGGGGTGAAGCACCAGCGGGGAACAGGCTTTTGTGGCAAAAAGGGATCCCCGATGAGCAGATCCAGGTGCACAAGCAGGACGGGGAGCACCGCGTGTTATTTCTCCATCACCAAAATCGCAGCCAGCGCCGGCGCGTTCATTCCCGACGGGAGCGGGGACGGCTCCGAGCGCTGCTCCGGGAGAGGCTCGGGCTCCCTCAGTCGCCACCTCCACCTGCCCGGTCAGGACCCGCCTCTCCCCCGCCTCGAGGCACTGGTTTGTGACACAATCCGCAGCACAGCCAGCAGCAGCGAAAAGCGAGCGAGCTCCCGGCCAGCTCCGGGTCACTCCCGCTGTCCCGAACGCGTTCCCGGAGCATCCGCGGCTCCGCCGCCCGCGCCCCTCCCGCGCCCGCGCCTCGACCCCGCGGGGTGCCCGTGCCCCCCGCAAACCGCGCTCCGGACCGGGACCGCCCCGGGGCCTTGGGTTGCAGCACCGGCCCGCGGGTGGCAGCGGCGGTGAATCGCGCCCGGTGCCCCCCCGGTCCAGATCCCGGTCCCGGTGCCGGCACTGACCCGCGTGTGCGCGTCCCCGCGGCGGGGGGCGCAGGGCGCGCGCCAGGCCCGCGCGCCAGCCCAACATGTCTCCGCTCGCCGCTCGCCGCTCGCTCGGTGCCGCCGGCCCGGCCCGGCCCTGCCCCGCCGCGCACGCGCCTCCCGCCGCTTCCGGGCGGCCGCTCCGCGCCGCCGCATCGATGGTGCCGGTGCCGCCGCCGCCGCCGCCATGTGGCGGCCGCCCCGCCGCCTCCCGCGCCCGCTCCGCCGCGCCACTGGCACCGCCACCGGCAACGCCACCGGCAACGCCACCGGCAACACCACCGGCAACACCACCGGCAACGCCACCGGCACCGCCACCGGCCGCCGCCTGCTGCTCTCCACCCCCATCTTCTATGCGAACGGGCCGCCGCACATCGGGCACCTGTACTCGGCGCTGCTCGCCGACGCGCTGCTCCGCCACCGCCGCCTGAGCGCCACCGGCCCGGCCCGGCTCTGCACGGGTCAGTGACAGCCCCGGCCCGAGCCCCTTCCCCGGCCCGAGCCCCTTCCCCGGGACTGACCCCTCTCCCCGGGGCTGCTCCCCTCCCCGTGTCCCCAGACCCCTGTGTCCCCGCGGGGCTCCGGGCTGTCCCCACGGCCTCTCTCCGTTTCAGGGATGGACGAGCACGGGCTGAAGATCCAGCAGACCGCGGCCGCGGCGGGGACATCGCCCGCGGAGCTCTGCGAGCGCATCTCGGGGCTTTTCCGCCAGGCCCTGAGCCAGGCCGGCGTCTCCTACACCGACTTCATTCGCACCAGCGAGCCCCGGCACCAGCGAGCCGTGCGGCATTTCTGGGGGGCCCTCGGCCACGCAGGGCTGCTCTACAAGGGCTCCTACGAGGGCTGGTACTGCACGGCCGAGGAGAGTTTCCTGCCCGAGAGCCAGCTGGCCGAGCGCACCGACAGCCAGGGCCGCCCCTGCAAGGTGTCCTTGGAGAGCGGCCACCAGGTAAAGGCTGCAGGAGCGCTCACCTGCCGCTCTGCTCCGGACACACCTGGGGTGTTCCGTGCTTCCCGTAGCCTTTTATTAATTTGTGTTGGCTGAGATTCACCTGTATTTCGATAGTGTCTGCCAGAGCCCACCTGGCAGGTGCACATTGCAGCTACGTGCAACGGGAAGGATTCAGCCCCTGCTGGCCTGGGAATGGTGTTCTGCAGGGGTGATGAGAGAAGTTAACTGAACTGGAGGATAAGGGTGTATTGAATGAGGGGTTCCTTGGGGATTCAGAATTTCACACCTGCTTTGTGAGACAGTTCAGTTTGACCTCTGGACATTTACCCATCTCTTAAATGTGTTTTAGCCCTGTCTAAAGCAGTGTAACATCACCTGCCTGTGGTCAGCCACAGGAGTGTGGCACCTTCCCCAGCGTCTCTCTGCCACTGATCTCTACAAGATGTGGAGTTACATGATTTAATGCAGCAGCTACAGATAAGCCTGCTCAGAGCTCAGCACAGGTTATGCTCTTGTGATATTTGTATGAGGCTGGGATGTAGGAGTGCACACAGAAAGGGCTGAATTGGCAAATAGTAACTCTTGAGAAAGTTAATCTGAGAAAGTTAGTCTAAGCTAATTGTGGAAAAGATAAGTTTCCAGGCAAAGTAATCATTCTTTAGACCTAAAACAGTCAGCAGAATTCAAAGCCAAGTGTACCTTGAGAACAGTTCCTGGCATCTCCTGTGTTGAACTGTCCAAGGACCAGGAGTGTGCTTGGAGCAGAGAAGCTCTTGCAGTGTGGTGGGAAGGGATGGGAGGGTTTATCTCCAGCCTGAAAGAGGCAGTTGGGCAGTTTGTTCCTTGGGAATTTTGTGACGGAAATGGGGGAGTTTGCACACGCCATAAACCCCAGACTTGTGGTGAGTGAGTGGGTTCTGGCACCCGCTGGAGCCTGGGGGTGAGGACACACAGCTTGTCTTTGAATGATGCTCTCAGGTCTTCCTTGCACACTGCAAGATTGCTGACCCAGCCATGGATCCCCGAGTGCCTTCCACAGCTCACTTGTACCACATCCACCCACCAAGTTTTCACTGGTTTAGCTAAATGTGTCATTTAATGCACTTAACTGTGGGGGAGAAGTGCTGCCAGTGCTGTAAGCAAACAAAGTTAGTGACTTTGATGCATTAAAGCATAAACTGAGGAAAAAGAGGAGTACGGCCCCAGGAGAACAAAGGCAGGTACCAGGAGTGGCAGTAGGGCAGGAATTGCAATGTCATTTTCCACTATTACTACAAAACTCTGTTGTTCAGAAGGTGCATTCTCATCTCCATATTTCCTTTCTGATATCACATCAACCTGGCAGATGGAAAGATGTTCCTTCCCAGGGTTACAGGTGTTTTTAGAAGCAAGATGCTGAGCCATCCCAGGCGCCTGAGTCCTCAGGTGTGTTCCTGGGGATCCCACGGAGGGAGTGCCTTGGAAAGGTGCTGAGAGCTTCCCGTGGCATGGGAGGACACCCAGACACGGGCAGCGTGCGACAGCCTCCATGCTGGGAACGGTGTGTGAAATTGCCAGCCTGTTCTCGGGGCCGTAATCCTTTCCTCTTCTGCTGTCCCAGGTGCACTGGACCAAGGAGGAGAATTACATGTTCAGGCTCTCAGCATTCCGGGATCCCTTGCAGAACTGGCTCCGGGACAACCCCCGTGCCATTTGTCCTGACCCTTTTCACCAGTGCGTGCTCCGCTGGCTGGACGAGGACTTGCCGGACTTGTCGGTGTCCCGCGAGCGCGGCCGGCTGCACTGGGGCATCCCCGTGCCCGGTGACCCCAGCCAGACCATCTACGTCTGGGTGGATGCCCTGGTGAACTACCTGAGCGTGCTGGGGTACCCCGAGAGCCACGGGCCGTGGTGGCCGGCCGTGCACCACGTCGTGGGCAAGGACATCCTCAAGTTCCACGCGCTATACTGGCCGGCGCTGCTGCTGGCGGCGGGGCTGGAGCCCCCCGAGCGCATCCTGGTGCACTCGCACTGGACTGTGAGGGGCCAGAAGATGTCCAAGAGCCTGGGCAATGTGGTGGAGCCCGGTGTGTGCGTGGGGCAGTACGGTGTGGACGGGTTCCGGTACTTCCTGCTGCGGCAGGGCGTCCCCGAGAGGGATTGTGACTACTACGATGAGAAGGTGGTGAAGTTGGTGAATTCAGAGCTGGCAGATGCGCTCGGGGGGCTGCTCAATCGCTCGACAGCCCCCAGCATTAACCCCAGCAACACCTACCCACGCTTCTCAGAGGCCTGTTTCCCAAAGGTCCTGGATTGCAGGGAGGCCAAAGGCACAGGCAGGGCGTGTGCTGAGGACTACGAGCTCGTGGCAGCGGTGGCCTCGCTGCCTGCACAGGTGGACGGTTATTTCCAAGGCTTCCAGATCTACAAGGCTTTGGAATGCATTGCCCAGTGTGTGAGGCAGACCAACGGCTTCTTCCAGAGGCACAGGCCTTGGAAGCTTGACCGGGGGGACGCTGGGGAGCAGCTGTGGCTGGACACCATCCTGCATGTGACGCTGGAGTGCCTGCGCGTGTTCGGGACGCTCCTGCAGCCCGTGGTCCCACACGTGGCAGACAAGCTGCTGTCCCGGCTGGCTGTGGGGCCAGCAGAGAGAGGCCTCTCTGGGCTGGCATTCCTGGCACGCTATGATGGAAAACCATGTCCCTTTGAGGGGAGGCAGCTCGGACCTGACACTGGCATCTTGTTCCACAGGCTGGGCAAGTCGGAAACTGTGAAGAAGAGAAAGCAAGAAGCTCAAGTCCCTGACAAACAGCTTCTATGAATAAAAGCTTCTGGGAATTCCGGGACAACATTGTCTCTGTTAAAAGCACTTTCCTCCCGTTCCTAGTGGTGGTATGGAGGGGTGGGAAGCCAGCCTGAGCAGGGGGGATCAAGCAAGCCCTGAGGAGAGACAGGCTTGGTCCCGGGACTCCTTGGTGGTGTCTCCTTGCACAGGGAGATGGGTGAGCAGTCGCTTTGCGATGTCCTCATCTCACTTTTGATCCATAGGTTTTTGGCCAGGTCAGAAGTAGCTGGGGTGGTCAGAAATGGTTCTGTGGGGCTGTGGTGCCCATGGGTCTCTAAACTGAGCTCCCTTTGTGGGTAAAAACAAGTCTGAGAGCCTCAATGAGGACAATCCTGTGTGGCTGCTCTTTATTCCGAGGGCAGGATGATGCCATGGTTAGAGAGAGGGTCTCATCCAGCAGTGCAGACCTGCAGATGTGACCAGAATGGGAAAGAGGGGGGATGTGTTTCATCAGGCTCAGCTTTCTGAGGCTTTTCCACCTGCTGCAAGGCTCCGTGCACCCTGTGTCATGTCCGTACTGCTGGAAGCAGAAGGGCACTGACACTCTGGGGTGCTGGTGACCACTGGGGGTTTCTGTTAAATCCTGCTCAGCCTCCAGCTTCTGCAGGTCCCATCAGTGCTGGCACTGGAGGAGTCATTTTCCAGAGGCTCATTCTGGGGGGTTTTGAGTTATTTTGGGATCACCTGGGCTATGTGAGCAGGAGCAATGCATCCACTGGGGCTCTGCCCCATGTTGCCATCAGTCCCCATGCCACCATCTCTGTGCCACAGCCTGATACTGTCCCAGTCCAGCTGAGTCCCCTCATCCCCTCCTGCCATGGTTCTCTCCTCCTGCAGATCATCACCTGCTCCCCTCACTTCTGCAATCCTTGTGTGCATCCTTCCTGCTGCAGCCCCCGTGCCGTGGGTGCTGCTGCCCACTGCCCTGTTCCTTGGGGACAGGAGGGACACGTCCCCTTCCCGGTGTCTCTGATGCTGGCACACGGGGGCTGTGGCTGCCCAGCCGGACATGGAGCGGGTCATCCTGGCACCGGCGTTGTGATCCCGCTGGCACCTCTTGGCGCTGGGAATGTGGGGGTGTCAGTGTCCCCCGGTGCTCTTGGCACGGGGAACGTGGGGATGTCGGTGTCCCCCGGTGTCCGGTCCCGCCTCGCTGTGCCCCTCGATCTCTCGTTCCCTCCCGGGAGGGGCCGGGCCCGCTGCCCGCAGCCCTGCCGGTCCCTGCCGGTCCCTGCGCTCCGCTGGGGATGCCCGCGCTGCCCGGGCTGAAGGCACTCGGTGCCCGGTGTGTGGCAGGGCTGGCCCGGGACCGGAGCTGAGCCGAGTCCGTGCCGGTGCCGGAGCGGGGAGCGCAGGGCGGAGCCGGTGCCAGTCCGCGGGGCAGAACCGTGCGGTTCCGTAGCTGGTACGCGGGGCTGTGCCAGTGCCGCTGCCGGTCCGCGGGGCGGGGCTGTGCCGGTGCCGGTCCGCGGGGCGGGGCCGTGCCGGTGCCGCTGCCGCTGCGCCGGTGCCGGTGCGTGGGGTGGAGCCGTGTTGTGCCGGTGCTGGTGCGCGGGGCGGGGACGAGCTGTGCTGTAGCTGGGGCGGAGACGAGCGGTGCCGGTGCCGCTACCCGGAGCCGCGCCGGTGCCGCTACCCGGAGCCGCGCCGGTGCCGGTCCGGGTCCCCTATGAGCCGGTGAGGCGGCAGCGGGGCGGGAGGGATGGCGGCGGGCGGCGGCGGGGGGCGACCGCCGGGCCCCGACCCCGCGCTGGAGCCCTACGTGCAGACCCGCATCTTCAAAATCATCGTGATCGGAGACTCCAACGTGGGCAAGACGTGCCTGACCTTCCGCTTCTGCGGGGGCACCTTCCCCGGCAAGACCGAGGCCACCATCGGCGTGGATTTCCGCGAGAAGACGGTGGAGATCGAGGGGGAGCGCATCAAGGTGGGCCCCGCAGCGGCTCCGGGATGGCTGACACCGGCCCCGGTGGGTCCCGCACCGGCCCCGGTGGGTCCAGCATCGGTCCTGGTGGGCCTCGCTCCGCCCTCCGTGAGCCCCGCTCTGTCCCCGCCGGGCCCCGCCGGCAGCAGCCCCAGCAGCGATGGCAGCCGGTCCCCATCCCTGCCGCTTCCCGGTCCCCATCCCTGCCTCTTGCCAAACCCCTCCTGGGGGCTTTTCCTTTCATCCCAGTTGGAGCGAGGGAGCAGGGCCAGGGAAGGATTCCCGTCCCTGTGTTGCAGAGATGCCCCTGGACCAGTCCCTGCTGCCTTGTCGCTATTTCTGGGGCTGGCTTGAGCCTGCAGAGATCAGAAGTGACGGCTCGGGGTGAGTCACTGCCACCCCTGCGATGGGCACAGCTGGATCCTCGCAGCACTGGGGTGGCTCCAGCTCCAAACACTGGACCAGCAAAGGGGCAGAGCTGCAGAGGGATGGGGGACAGAGCTCTGTGCCCCAGCCAGGGGGCTGGGGAGGCAGAGGGTGGTGGGCTGGACACAGCAGCCACACTGCGAGGCTGAGAGCTGCCACAGGCCAGAGGCAGCGGTGCTGGAACCTGCTCCCAGCTGCACCTGGAGCTGCCATTGCAGCAGGATGGATTTGAATGTGAAGCCTGGTGTGACACCTGGAAAGAATGAACAGGCCTGGAGAGCTCTGGTGTGTCAGAGCAAATCTGGCACGGGTAGGAAACCACCCAGGAGCAGAGTTTGTGGTGGACTTGGCCTGCCCAGCTGTGGGGATCAGCACCCACGGCCCCCGAGGCTGGTGCTGGAAAAACAAACCTCGCTGCTGTACTGACAGATGGCTGAGCAAAAGTTGAACTCACAATGAAACCGGAGCTTGTGTTGGTGGGTGAGAGCTTTGTTTGTGCTCCTGGGCTGTGCATGGATGTTTTTCCCTCTTTCCTTCAGAGGTGCTCATTCTCTCTGCCCTCCCAGCTCTGCCCAGCCCCACGGAGCCGTGCTGGTGTGAGCTGTGGTGCAGGCTGGCATGGAGCCTGTTTGCTGCCACTACCCAGAAAATGTTGCCAGGTTTTCTACCTTTGGATATGATTTGAGCTCCAGTGGGCAGGAGTGGGAGGCAGTGCAACAAACTGGCCTTTTCCTGGGATTTGTACCCAAGAGAGGAGGTGAGAGGTGGGAGAGGGACCCTCCCTCTCCTGCTCTGCCTGGGAGAGACTGGCCCTGAAAGGACAAAACAGCAGCTCTGCTTTGCCAGCGTTTTTCAATTGGAAAGGCTCCGAGGCAGGTACTGTCTCCCTGGGTACAGGGCAATTTGGATTAACTTGGAAATGGCCACTTCCAGGCTACAAACCATTACCAGGAAAACCCAGACTGACCCCTGGGGCACTCTGCTGGTTACCAGTGTTCACCCAGACTCGGTGTCACTGACCAGCACTGTCCAGGCCCAGACATTCAGCCAGTTCCCAATCCAGCTCACTGTCTGCCCATCCAGCCCAGAGGCCTCCTGCCATCTCTGTCACTCGGGTCAGGAAGTTGTCATCGGTGGTGTGCTGGAATGTTCTGGATTGCCTGTGCCCTGCTGGGCTGTCCTTTCAGGAGGTGTTGGGGTGGTTGAAGTTCTCTCTGAGAACCAGGGGCTGCAAACACAAGGCTGCTGCTCAGTGTCCCCAGAGCACCTCATCTTCCTGCTCTTCCTGGCCAGGTGGTCTGCAGCAGAGACCCCCAACAATGTCACCTGTGATGTTCTGTTCTTTAATCCTCCCCCATGAGCTCTCTTGGCTCCTCACCCATTCCCACAGAGCTCCTGGTCCTCCCACTGTGCTCCTACACAGAGGGTGGCTCCCCCTCCTCATTTTCTCTTTTTCTCTGTGAAATCGTCAGCGTTCTCGTTCATGGCGTAGGATTTGGTGCACAAATAGACATGGATCTGTTGGAGTGAGTCCAGAGGAGGCTGCAGAGACATTCTGGGGGCTGCAGCCCCTCTGCTCTGGAGCCAGGCTGGGAGAGCTGCGGTTGTTCAGCCTGGAGAAGAGAAGGCTCGGGGGAGACCTTAGACCCCCTTCCAGTGCCTAAAAGGGCTCCAGGAGATGTGGAGAGGGACTTGGGATGGAGGGACAAGACAATGGCCTTAAACTGAACGAGGGCAGGTTTAGATTGGCTATTGGGAAGAAATTCTTGGCTGTGAGGATGGGGAGGCCCCGGCACAGGGTGCCCAGAGCAGCTGTGGCTGCCCCTGCATCCCTGGCAGTGTCCAAGGCCAGGTTGGACACTGGGGCTTGGAGCAACCTGGGATAATGGAAGGTGTCTCTGCCCATGGATGGGGTGGGAATGGGATGGGATTTAAGGTCCCTTCCCGTTCAAGCCATGCTGGGACTCTCTGAAAGCTGAACCCCTCCTGCAGCCCCCTCCCCACGGCCACGCTCCACACTCCCGCAGCCTCTGTTCTTGTCTGCTTCGCTCCCCAGGTGCAGGTGTGGGACACGGCTGGGCAGGAGAGGTTCCGCAAGAGCATGGTGGAGCACTACTACCGCAACGTGCACGCCGTGGTCTTCGTCTACGACGTGACCAAGATGAGCTCCTTCACCAACCTCAAGACGTGGATCGAGGAGTGCAACGGGCACGCCGTGCCCCCGCTCGTCCCCAGGGTGCTCGTGGGGAACAAGTGTGACTTGAAAGACCTGATCCAGGTGCCATCCAGCCTGGCCCTCAAGTTCGCCGACGCTCACAACATGCTTTTGTTTGAGACCTCGGCCAAGGACCCGCAGGAGAGCCAGAACGTGGACGCGATTTTCATGTGCCTGGTGTGCCGGCTGAAGGCGCAGCGCTCGCTGCCCTGCCGGGACACGGAGGGCTGGCCGGCACAGCCGCAGCCCCGGCGGCTGGACGAGGCCAGCGGGAAAGGCTCCTGCCCGTGCTGAGCGGGACCGCCCGGACCCCAATAAAAGCTCTGAGCCCCCTGCGCTCCGACTCTTGCTTTGCGCCTCAGCCCGGCCGGCCCTAATCGGCTGTGATCGGCTGTGATCGGCCCGGCTCGGCCACAGTCGGTCCGGTTCGGCCTGGAGCGCTCGGCTACAATCGCCCAGTTCGGCTGTAATCGGCCCGGCTCGGCCACAATCGGCCCGGTTCGGTGTGTAGCGCTCGGCTACAATCGGTGCTACTCGGTAACAATCGGTCTTATTCGGCTACAATCGGCCCTGTTCGGCCGTGCTCGGGCTATCTCGGTAATTATTGACCACACTCGGTTACAATCGGCCCGGCTCGGCCACGCTCGGCCTCACTCGGCTACAATCGTTCGACTCGGCTGCGCTCGTCTACGTCCGCCTGGGCTCGGGGCGGGGCGCTGCCGCGCGCAGGCGCAGTGCGCGCCGCCGCCGCCATGAAGTAGGTGCTCGGGTGCGGGGGGAAGGCCAGGCCCGGTCCCGGTCCCGGTCCCGTGCCATCGGTTCCGGTGCTGACGGTGCCTCGCCCGCAGCCCCCTGACCAAGGTGAAGCTGATCAATGAGCTGAACGCGCGGGAGGCGGAGCTGGGCGTGCAGGAGGCGGTGTCGTGGCACGCGGAATACAAGGACAGCGCTTGGATCTTTGTGGGTACGGGCCGGGCTGGGGGCGGCGGCCTGTGCCGGTACCGGTGCCGGTGCTGTAGGCCCGATCCTTCCCTCCCCTCTCCCCGCAGGCGGGCTGCACTACCAGCTGACGGAGGGCGATGTCATCTGCGTGTTCTCGCAGTAAGTGCCGCAGCCCCGGCCCCGCTCCGCGGGCGCTGCCGCCGGCGCTGCCATTGCGTGTGTCACAGGTACGGCGAGGTCGTCAACATCAACCTCGTGCGGGACAAGAAGACCGGGAAATCCAAGGGCTTCTGCTTCCTGTGCTATGAGGACCAGAGAAGCACCATCCTGGCTGTGGATAACTTCAATGGGATCAAGGTAAGTGGAGCTCCGGTTTTGCCGTGGCTCGCTGAGTGCTGCCGGTGACAGCCCGGCCTGGGAGCCGGGAGCTGCCGGTGACAGTGACAGCCCGGCCCCGCAGATCAAGGGCCGGACCATCCGTGTGGACCATGTGGCCAACTACCGGCCCCCCAAGGAGTCCGAGGACTGGGATGAGGTGACCAGAGCCCTCCATGCCAAGGGCTGCGGGGTCAAAACGCCACCTCACACCTCGTCCGACTCCCCGTCTGAGGATGAGGATGTGCCCGTGAAAAAGCAGAAAGGTGAGGAGTGTTCCTGGCAGGCTGGATCCCAGGCGGGAGTGCCCGTGGTAGGGTTTGGGGGCTGGAGTCTGTGTGGAGAGAAGGTTGGAGGAAGAAATAGGGCACAAAATGAGGGTGGGATCAGAGTGTTGCTACAGAGTGCTGAGGAGATGCTCCCTCAAAAATGAGGGAGAGCCAAGAAGCAAGAGTGCTGAGGTCTGGAGAGGTAATTTCCACAGAGTGGATCACAACATTACTGAGGAAGGGGAATGAAAGGATATTCCCAGCATTGCTGGGAAGAACATGATGCGAGTGTTAAAGACAGAAGTGGGATGGCTGCAGCTGGAGGAGAAAAAGCCGTGCTTGGAAGTGGACTGGGATCTCCCTGAGGGGGAAGCAGGCTGGGAAACTGGGTGGAGGGGAAAGAGGTGTTGGAATGGTGCCAGGGGAACCATGAGGGGCAAGATGCTCCTGGAGTTTGGTCCATCCCAAAATGTAAACCCCAGTTCCAGAGAAGCAGCGGAGCAGAGCAGAGCGGTCCAGGCCGAGCCCGCCAGCTGGGAAGAGGGTGAGCACGGAGGAGCCTCACCCCAGGATCAAGATCAAGAAGGAGAAGGAGGACCCCGGGTACGAGCGCTACGCTGGCGGGAGCGCCGGGAGCAGGACACAGCGGGACGAGGAACGGCGGCACCAGCGGCACTCGGACAGGAGGGGGGACAAGAACTGCCACGAGCAGAGGGGCCAGGGCGGCTCCTGGGAGGAGCCTGGCAGGAGGGGAGACGGACACAGCAGCCGGCAGGACGTGTCCCCCAGGGGAGGCAGATCCCGGGAGTCCCATTCCAGGCACAGGGAACGGGGCTCTGGCAGAGACAGAGACAGAGACTCGGGTCGCTGCTGAGCCCTGGGTGAGCGTGTGGGGTGAGCCTGCCCACGCCTGCTCCGAGCTCCTGGGCTGCCACAGCTGGCCCTGTCACCTGGGAGCTCCCCCTTGCCTCTCATCCCACCCCGGGCCAGGGCTCTCCACGCTGCCCGTGCTGCTGGCTGGGACGGGGGTTTATCCTTCAACCATGGAGGGTGTGAAGCGGTGAAGGCTGGGAGCAGCAGGATGCTCCCTTCCCTCAATCCCTGGGGAATGTCCCCCTCTTGCACTGAGGCAGAGGCTGCTCAGTGTCTTGTGTGGCCTCGTGGGCCAGGTCTGGGCCCTGTGCCCACCCAGCATCTTCTGGATTCCACGGTGTATCCACAGAGCTGCACCGCTGTGTCGGGGTGATTTATCATGGATTTGTTTAAAGGTTTCTTAATAAAAGTTCCTGCTAGGGAGAAGCTGGTCCCGGGAGCAGTGTTCCTGTCCGCGGGCCAGGGAGGAGGTGCCATCTGTTTTTCTTACGCTCATTTTGGGCTTATTTGGCTGGAAAACGGGGAGCGCTGGAGTGGGGCATTCACGGGATGGAGAAGGGAGGGGCTGGAGCTGGATCTGGTTCCTACAAGGAGGAATCCCTGCAGGCGCGAGGGGGAATTTCCCCCCGGAGTACCGGGACCGCTCCCGGCGACACCCGAGGGGCTGCGGCGGGCTTGGGGTGGGGGCAGCCCTGGTGCTGATGCCGGTGCGGGCGGTGCCGGTGTCGGTGCCGGTACCGCCGGGGCCGGCAGGGGGCGCGCGCGGCGCGGCGCTGCAGAGCCCGGTTCCGCTTCCGGTCCCGGCCCGGTGGCGGCGGCGCGCGCGGCGGTGTCCGCCCGCCATGCCATGTCCGCGCTCAACTGGAAACCCTTCGTGTATGGCGGGCTCGCCTCCATCGTGGCCGAGTTCGGTGAGGCGGGGGGGACCGGGCGGGACCGGGACCGGTGCGTGTCCCGGCGGGCGCTGAGGCCGCTGTCCCCGCTGTCCCCGCAGGCACGTTCCCCGTGGACCTCACCAAGACGCGGCTGCAGGTGCAGGGGCAGAGCACCGACGCGCGGTTCCGCGAGGTTCGGTACCGGGGAATGTTCCACGCGCTCTTCCGCATCTGCCGCGAGGAGGGCGGACGGGCCCTGTACTCGGGGTGAGCACCGGGACCGCATCCGTCCGTACCGGGGCCCCATCCATCCATCCATCCATCCATCCATCCATCCATCCATCCATCCATCCATCCATCCATCCATCCCTACCGGGACCGCATCTATCCGCCCCGGCACCTCCTTCCACCCACCCGGTTCCTTCTCCTCTGGCTCCGGAGCTCCCCCGCCCGTGCTGGGCTCCCCGTTCGGCCGCAGCATCCCCGTTCTGGCGTGTTCGCCCCCACCGGCCCGTCCCGGCACCTCTCCCACGCCCCCGCATCTCCCCCTGCCTTCCCCGGGTCTCCCCCACCCATCCCGGGTTCTTCCCCTCTGCCCACCCCGGCCCTGCTCCTGTCCCGGCTCCCCTCCCCACCCTCTGTCACGACATTCCCTTGTTCCCTGCCCATCCCGGCCCCCCATGCCCTGCAGCTGCCGGGACCCCCGGGGTCCCTCCCTGAGCGGAGCCTGCCGGTGTTCCCGAGCCCGGGGCTGCGTGGGGCAATCCCGGGTTATCCCGGGTTATCCCGGGCTGGCCCCAGCGATGCTCAGGCTCCATTCCCCCTCAGGATCGCCCCGGCTCTGCTGAGACAGGCGTCCTATGGCACCATCAAGATCGGCATCTACCAGAGCCTCAAGCGGCTCTTCGTGGATCGCATGGAAGGTCGGTGCAGGGGGAGGGCGGCACCTCCCAGCTCCCCCCTCACACTCTGGGCTGTGTGTTCTGCTCCTTCCTTGCTGTGTCCTTCCCGCCCCGAGATTCCCACAGCAATGGAGCTCCATTGCTGGCTGCTGTGGGTTTGTTTCCCAGTGAGAGCAAGGATTGGATTCAATCCCCATGGGAACCTCACTGTGTCTGTGGTCCATACCCCAAAACTCCCTCCAGGTTCCTTTCAGGGAATCACAGGAGAATCACAGAATCACTTAGGTCAGAAAAGCTCTCCAGGATCACCAAGTCCAACCTGTGTCTGGTCCCCACCTTGTTCCCAGCCGAGAGCTCTGAGTGTCACCTCCAGGTGACACCTCCAGGGATGGGGACCCTAAAGCTCCCTGAACAGCCCCTTCCAATGCCTGACCACCCTTTCCGTGGAGAAATTCCTTCTGATGTCCAGCCTGAGCCTCTCCTGGCACAGCCAGGCACACTCTGGATAGGAATTGTGCAGTCCAGCTCTGGGGAGCTTTGCTCCTGTCTGCAAAGGTGAGGTTCCACCTGTGCCCTTTGCAGCTCCTGGAGCAGCAGGAGTCTGCTGGGTGTTCCCCAGGGAGCACTGAGATGTGCAGGTGAGATTTCCATCCCTGCTGGGATACCAGGGAATGTTGTAACACTGCTCCAGCCTGGGAAAGTGGGATGGGCAGCTGAAAGGCAGCCCAGTAATGGTACAAAGCTGTGCCAGGGGAGGTTTAGGTGATCTCAGGAGAAGGTTTTTTTTCCCCAGAGGGGCACTGCCCAGGCTCCCCAGGGAATGGGCACAGCTCCAAGGCTGCCAGAGCTCCAGGAGTGTTTGGACAGAGCTCCCAGGGATGCACAGGGTGGGATTTTTGGGGTGTCTGTGCAGGGCCAGGGGTTGGACTGGATGATCCTTGTGGAACCCTTCCATCCAGGAGATTCTGTGACTCCAGAGGTCCTTTCAGGGCTGCTGTCCTGCTCCAGTAACGCCTCTCCCTGCCTGGTTCTGTCTGTGTACACAGGCCCCACACCCCCTCGCTGTTCCAGCCTTTCCAGCTGCCAGCTCCACGCCTCAATGTTTGTCTCCCTACAGGCCTGGGGCAGCCAGTGGCCTGGTGTCCTCTGGGAAGTGTCCTGGTCAGTACCAGCAAAGGCCTGTGCTTTTTCCCCATGTAACCATCATCCTAATACTGGGCCTGGAAGCTCGGGTTGTTCCCTGGCACTAATCCCATCTAATCCCTGCCTGTTCTCCATCCTCAGCTGGCTCCAGTGGCTCTGTGTAGGCAAATCCAGGGGCCTGGGGAAATGCTGGGTTGTCCCTCTCTGTCTGCCTCTGTCCTGGCTCCTCCCTGCAATGAGAAATCTCAGATGATTGTTCACAATTTTCACGTGTCCCAGGATTTTCCTTCTCATCAGTCAGGCCCTCTGAGAGTGCCTTGCTGAGTGTTTCAGCTGCCACCTTGTGTCCCTGGCAGGTGGGGACAGACCTGTCAGGGGCTGTGGCACCTGCCCAGGCCCTGCTCCTCCAGCTTCCCTGTGTGATTCGAGAACTGAGCTGCTCTGCTCTTCCCAGCCCCTGTTCCCTCCTGCTGTGCCCCCTCCCCTGAGGGTCTGACCTCCTTTCCTTGGTTGCAGATGAAACGTTGCTGATCAATGTGATCTGTGGGGTGGTCTCTGGGGTCATCTCCTCTGCGCTGGCCAATCCCACAGATGTGCTGAAGGTAAGGGCTGCTCCTGGCTGCCTGTGGGGCCTGTGGGAGGAGCAGCTCAGTGCTCCCTGAGCCACCACTTCTGCTCGTTCAGGGTTTTTTAATGACTGGGGACCAAAGCCCAGGGTAATTAACAGATGTTTAAAAACACAGCTCTTAAAGATCACAGAATCCCAGAACGGTTTGGGTTGGGATGGGCATGAAAAACCATCTCCTTCCACCTCCTGCCATGGGCAGGGACACCTCCCACTGTCCCAGGCTGCTCCAAGCCCTGCCCAGCCTGGCCTGGAACACTCCCAGGGATGGAGCAGCCCAGCTTCTCTGGGCAGCAAGGATCGTGACACTTGTCCTGCTGAGGGTGGGAGCTGTGTTCTCCAACCTGGGCCAGGTGAGCAGGTGGCAGCCAGCTGCTGCTGTCCCCTTGGTCACTGCCCCAAGGGCCTGCCTGTTACATGGGGTGAGCAGAGCCCAGTGGGGACTGCCTGGTGCTCTGGGCAGAGGGAGCCTGGAGAACTTCCCCACTCTTCTCCCTGTGTAGATCCCCCTTCTGGGACTGCTTTTGGGGGGAAGGCCTTGTCCCTCATGTCCCTGTGCCCCCACCCTGCTGCTGTCCCTGCGCTGTCCATGCGGTTTGCAGGGAGAGGGATGTGGAGAGCAGTGTGTGCTCTGGGCTGCTCTGTTCCTTCTCCCAGCAGTTCCATGGAGCTGCTGTCCCTGCTGTCCCTGCCCTGTCGTGTCAGCCCAGGTGTTCATGTCCTTCTGCTGACTCTTCCCTTTCTTGCAGATCCGAATGCAGGCTCAGGGCAGCTTGTTCCAGGGTGGGATGATTGGCAGCTTCATTGACATCTACCAGCAGGAAGGTACCCGAGGCCTCTGGAGGGTGAGCACCAACTCCTAGAATCCCCCCCCAGCAGCAGAACCAACAGAAATCTTAGGGAAGCACCTGGAGCCCCTCCTGGCTCCTTAAACTGCTCAGAATCTTTCCTGGCATCGAAGCTGGTGCAGAAGGTGAGGGGGTGGCAGCCCAGTCCCCCCGTGCTGGGAGCAGGGAGGCAGAGTGGAGTGAATCCAGCTGGGATAACGCTGCCAGGATGGAGACACCTCCTCCTTGGCTCTGCAGCACAGCCGGGTGCTGTTGGTGAGGGTGCAGGGGAGGCCCTGTGAGGAGCTGGGGGATGTGGCTGCAGTTGGTGACAGTGTCCCTGCTCCCCAGGGCGTTGTCCCCACGGCCCAGCGAGCGGCCATCGTGGTGGGGGTGGAGCTGCCAGTCTACGACATCACCAAGAAACATCTGATCCTGTCAGGCCTCATGGGGGACACCATCTTTGCCCACTTCGTGTGAGTACCTGCTGCAGCCTTGGGGGCTGTGTGAGGCACAGGAGCCAGGTGGGGCTGGGGAGAGACCATCCATGGGGCTGCAGGGAGCAGGGTCAGTGATTCCAGGGGATCTGGAGCTGGGTCAGTGATTCCAGGGGATCTGCTCTGTCAGCTGGGAACAGCTCAGAGTCGGGTGTGGAGCCTTGAGACACGGAGCTGGCAGGACCCAGAGCAGGTGTAGCAGTCAGCCTGCTCTGGGCAGGGCTGGCAGAGAACACCAGAATCCTTTTTCACCTCCACACTGCCATTGCTGCAGGTGCTGCAGTGCTTCCATTGGCTTTGCCAGCTGGGGTGAGGCTGAGGAGGAGGAGGGGGATGAGGAGCACCAGAGCCTCTGTGGAGGGGGAGACTGGCAGCTCTGATCCCTTCAGCTCTCTGATCCTTTCTGCTGTCTCTGCTCTTCCTCCCTCCGTCCCAAAGATGCTCTGGTGGGAAGGATGTGCACTCCCAGGGTGTGCCTTCGGGTCTGTGTCACCTGGGCTGCACCTGGGACCCTTGCAGGGCTGCAGGTGCCCCGTGGGACCAGCTGTGGGCTCAGTGAGGGTCTGGCTTAGCTGAGCTGAGCATTTCCCTCCCCTGAGCTGGCCCAGGTGCTGGCACTGCCCCTTTCCCAGGTGGGAGCAGGTAGTGCAGCTCATGTTGATTGCTGATGCCTTTGATGATGCCAGTGGGAGGTGTTTTGTGCCTGAGTGAGGGGCAGTGGCCGTGCCCAGGCTGTCCCTGCCTGACCTGTGTGTGCAGTTCCAGTTTCACGTGTGGGCTGGCAGGGGCCATCGCCTCCAACCCCGTGGACGTGGTGAGGACGAGGATGATGAACCAGCGTGCCATCGTGGGCAGCACCGAGCTCTACAAGGGCACCCTGGATGGCCTGGTCAAGGTGAGGGCACAGCCCTGCCCTGGGAGGGTGGCCAGGACGCTGATGGGAGCAGGGAGATCCTGCAGTGACACAATCAGGAGAGGGCCCAGAGTCACCTCCCAGCCTCCTGGGGCAAAATCTGGGCTGTGATGCCGTCAGCTGTGTTCAGAGGCTGTAAGTGATGCTTCACACACTGGCAGGGGTCTGTGTGCTCCCTGCAGCAGCTGTGGCACGGGGGGTGGGCAGGGCATGGCCTGGGCTGTCTCCTCATCCTTTTGTTTCTCCTCCCAGACGTGGAAGAGCGAGGGTTTCTTTGCACTCTACAAAGGCTTCTGGCCCAACTGGCTTCGTCTGGGTCCCTGGAACATCATTGTATCCTTCCCCGTGCTGCTGGGGAGGAGGGGGTGGGCAGGGCAGGGCACTGGGTGCACTGGGGACCCCCCTGGGCACTGCTGATGGTTCCTGTAGAGCCTCTGAGGGCTGGGCTGGGACCGGGCTGGGCTGGGCTGCAGGAGATTCCTGGGTGAGCTCCTGCTTGGGAGTGTTCTGCTGCTGAGCCAGACCATCCTGCCTGCTGGGACTGCCTGGGGAATTCCCTGTGAGGAGCTCCCAGCCTGGGCTTGCAGAGCTGTCCCAGAGCTCTGGGTTTGCTCTGCCTCCATCTCCCTGCTCCTGGCAGCCCCTGTGCCCTTGCCCTGTCCCGCCTGGGCAGCTCAGGCTGTGCTGCCTGCCCAGGGAGCTCCCTGGGTGGGTGTCTCTGCCCACCCTGCCAGCCACTGCCTCACTCACATCTGTCCCCAGTTCCTTGACTCAAATTTCAGTTTTTTATCACGTACGAGCAGTTGAAGCGCCTCCCCTTCTGAGAGCTGCCTTCATCTCACCAGAGTCATCCTCGGGGCTGGCAGCAGAGCTGTGCTGCCACCTCCCCCTTCATCCCACTGTCCCCATGTCGTGGTGTTTGGTCCCTGTGGGCTGGGCTGTCCCCACGTGCACGGTCCCTGCAGGAGGAGCCGTGTTTGCCACCGGAGGTGTCCACGTGCCCAGGCCTGCAGGAGTATCTTCTGTGAAGATCTGTGCATTCCAGTGGCCTTTGGGGCACTGTGGCTAGTGGCTGCCAGGTGTGGGGGTCCCCCCGTGCCCGTGGGGCAGGGCTGGGGCCTGGGAAGGTGCCATTGTCATCATGTTTCTTGCAGAACTTGTAACTTCATTAAATTATTTATTGACTGGATGGCTTGAGTTTGGGGCTGTGCTCATTCACTGCAGGGGTGTCTGCTCTTGGAGAGCACAGAAAGTGGTTTTCACCAAACTACAGACCCTTCTGTTCTCCATATATTTATATAGGAACGATCTGTAGGATCCATTTTCTAAACCCAAGTTTGTTACTGTCAGAAAACGACCTTGTTGCCTTCTCAGCTCAGTTTTGCCAAACCTCAGTCTTAAATTCCTGCTTACCATGACACTATTTTTGCTTAAATCATTTGTAAAGCCAGGTACTGTGCTTTAAAGGTGAAAATGGTGGCTGTGGTGCTGAGCAGGATATTTTGGTGATCCTCTTCTGGTTTTTGGTTATTTTTTTTCGTGTTTATGGCTATGGAAGCAAACGGTTTTTATGTTCCTGCTCCCTTTCCTCTTCCTGGGGGGGTGGCTTTGGTTTGGATGAGGGTCCCTTGTGACACAGCAGCATGTCCTGGCTGTGAGCTGAGATTCTGGTGAGCTCACACAAGGAATGTTCAGCCAAATCCCGCTGGGAACAATGGGAGGGAATTGGTGTTTCAAAGCCTGAGCTGTCTGTGGAGGCTGCAGGTGCAGGGAAGGTGACAGCCCTTGGGCTGAAATCCTGCCTTGAGCAGGGCTGTGCCTGCTCCCCTGCACACACAGGAAGGTCCAGGGGGTGGAAATCCAGCATGGGAGGCTCCATGGGAACCAGTCAGCCCTCCCCAGGTGTTTAAGGTAGAAATTCGTGTGCTCCTGATCCATGAAAGCTAAAAATGGCAGTAAAAGGCACTGGCTCCAGCCTGTCCTTGCTCCTCACTGCCCTGCCACTTCTCCCTCGTCCTTGGTCTCCTTCCAATTGTTTGGACTCTCTCCAGCATCAGGGAAAAGGCTCCCCAGACATCTCCCTGGGCAAACAGGAGTGTAAGGTCACCAGAACCTTTCCTGTGGCTGCCTGCAGTGCAGAGCCTGGGTGTTCCTGAGGGTCCCCATTCCCCATCCCCACAGCCAGTGCCCCCCATTCCCCATCCCCTTTCCCCATCCCCATTCCCCATCCTCTGCTCCTTCCCCCCCAGCAGGGCCCCTCCCTCCCCAGCCTCTCCCCAGTTACTGTTTGACATTGGAGCCCAGTCCTGCTCGTTTCCTGGCAGCCTGGATTTTTCCAGCTCACGAGGCAGAAGAGGTTTGTGACATTTGTGGTAGGGGCTGGAGCTGGCACTGTCAGACCCTGTGAAGGTCAAGCCCCCCGGGAGGGGTGAGGGGAGTTGTGGGATTCTGTAGGATGCAGAGGCTTTGTTTTCACCAATTTCTTTGTTACAAATTGCTATTAGGGAAATACACTCATGACTAGCAAAGTGAGTGAGTGTGTATATAGAATTATTATTTTTTACTGTTCCTAGCACTGACACAGATTTCAGTGAAGCCAAGGCCATCAGACTCCCCCAGGAGTGGGGTCAGTCCGTGATGGACAAGGTCTCTCTTTGGATGTGTCCTGTGTCATGGATCCCGGTGTTCCTGGATCCAAAGGGCTGTGCAGGGGCAGCTCCAGGACAGGGAGAGGCTCTTTGGGGCAGCAGCCAGTCACTTCTGCATGGATCCATGGCTGGGCAGAGGGACCAGCTCTCAGAGGCTGCCTTCTGCCTGGATCTGACACCCCTCTGTGTGTGTGTGTGTTGTTTTCTGCCCTGCAGGGGCCGGCAATCCCTCGATTTCAGCCTCCCCAGGGATGCCCTGGCTTCCCAGCTGTGCTTGCCAAGGGCACTGCAGGCTCCCAGCTGCTTTCCCAGGCTGGCAGATGTTTCTCCATCTGTGTCAGAGCACACATCCCTTGCCAGTGCTTTTCCCCAGGCTGCCTTCAGCGGTGTTCCCTTGGTGCCAGCAGCAAGAAGCTGTCCTGGCTCTGGCAGTGTCCCCAGGAGCCCCCCGAGCTGTGCTGGGCACTGGGAGCTCTCTGTGCTTGTCCCCATCGCCGTTCCTGTGTGTGAGCTGCTCTGCTCCAGCCCCCGGTGCCCGGGGGGGCACGGCCACCGCCCCGTGTGCCACCGTGGCAGCTTCCTGCCAGGTGCTCCCTGTCACCCCCTGCTCCAGGGTTGTCTGGAAACGTGGCTGGAGGGGAGGGACCTCCACGGGCACAGCAGCGAGTCCAGCAGTCCCTTCCACGGGCAGAGCTCTGCTCTGAGAGACATCCCTGATCCCTGAGAGACACCCCTGCTTCCCTGAGACATCCCAGATCCCTGAGACATCCCAGATCCCCAAGGATTGCTGCTGCTCCCTGGGATTCCTGCTGCTGATCCCAGGATTCCTTCTGATCCCGGGATTCCTGCTGCTGCTCCCTGGGATTCCTGCTGCTCCCGCAGAGTGAGGGGCTGCCAAGCAGCACCTGGTGAGTGATGGCCGAGGAGGATCCTGTTGGGGGTACAGAGTCGTGGTGTGTCTCACACAGCACAGCCGTGGCCAGCAGGGCCGTGGGAGCCATCCTGGCCTTGCTGGCCTCGCTCATCCTCGCTGCCAACGTGCCGGTGGCCATCGTCCTGCTCTGCCACATCCACAAGAGCGGCTCCAAGGGGCTCTGCTTCGTCCTCAACCTTGCCTTGGCCGATGCCATGGTTGGCTTCACAGTCATGGGCGTGGCCATAGATGAGATTTCCCAGCCCTTTTACCTTTCCCAGAACTTTTGCGTCCTGAGAATGGCTTTTGTCACCTCGTCCTGCGCTGCCTCCATCCTGTCCCTGATCCTGGTTGCGTGTGACAGGCACCTGGCCATCAGGAAGCCCTTCCACTATTTGCAGCTGGTGACAGGGCTGCGGGTCGGGCTGTGCTTGCTGGGGCTCTGGCTGGTGGCTGCCATCGTTGGCTTCCTCCCCGTCTTCATCCCTCGCTTCCGGAGGGTCTCCGACCATTGGAAATGCTCCTTCTTCCACGTCTTCGACCCCTCCTACATGCTCACCATGTTCTGCCTCGGCTTCTTCCCCGCGCTCTTCCTCTTCCTCTACCTGTACTGCGACATGCTGAAAATCGCCTCGGTGCACGTGCAGCACATCCAGAAGGTGAAGCAGGCGGGGCTGGCGGGGGCCTGTCCCCCTCCCCGTGTCACCAGTGACATGAAGGCCATGCGCACGGTGGCCGCGCTCATCGGCTGCTTCACCGTGTCCTGGCTGCCCTTCTTCATCGCCAGCGTGGTGCAGATGGTGTGCGCCGAGTGCCTCCCCTACCGACTCATCGAGAACTTCCTCTGGCTGCTGGGGCTGGGCAACTCCCTGCTGAACCCCCTGCTCTACTCCTACTGGCAGAGGGATGTGCAGCTCCAGCTCTCCCAGCTGGCTGCAGCTCTCAGGAGGAGAATCCTGCTCCGCCTGGGCCACGGCCGCTGCTCCCCTGGCAGGGACACCAAGGCTCTTGCTGCTGTGTCCTGCCTGGAGCTCCAGGACTGACTGGGTAAGGAGAGGCTGTCTCTGGCTTCCCAGCTCCCCTCCTGCATCATGGCCACGCACTCAAGGCCTGCCTGCTGTGGAGGAGATCGTGGATGGGTGGGACCAGTCTGGGTGTCAATTCCCGGCCACCATCACGGCCGGATTCCAGCCTGCCCACTGCCCCGCAGCCCCAGCACAGCTGATAAAAGGTTTTTAAAACGCCTCTCAGTTGCCTCATCTCTGGGTCAGAACAGGGCAAAATCCAACAGCTGGCTTCACCCCAGCCCTGGGCACCCCAGGCTGCAGGAGCTCCCCGAGATCCTCCCTGCAGGAGCTCCCTGAGATCCTCCCTGCATTCCCTGGGAGTCTCTGCTGGAGCAGTCCCGTGTCTCCCGGACCAAGCTCCCCCACTCGCTCCATAGGCAAAGACCCTTCACCCATCACTACTCGGCACTCCCTGGTGCCAGGTGTGCACCCCTGCCGTCCCCTGTGTCCCCAGCACTGCCTCCATGGGCAGCAATCCCCGTTCCCGGGGCAGGTGTGGGCACAGAGAGGCTCCATTCCAGCAGGGGCTGGGCAGGCTCTGAACATCCCCAAGCACCTCAGGTGCTCCTGCTCCCATCCCAAACCCACCTCTCCATCCTCCATGGGGCAGGAAGGTGAGCAGAGGTGAGGGGGCTGGGTTTGGGCATGGGGCACAGAGAGAGTTTGGGGGCTGGTGTGATCCAGGGCAGGGGTGTAACCCCAGGGCAGGGGGGGCAGCCTGGCCCTGCTGTCACTGTTTACCCAGGCTGTAAAGTGAGTCAATGAGTAACTGGGACAGGGAGGATTTGCTGCCTCAGAGATCCCCACGAAGGAGAGCTGCTGTTCCTCACCCAGGATTTGGGGCTGGAAGGGTCCCTGCACGCCCACCCTGCCCACCACTACCCACCCACACAGCAAGAAAACTTCCCTTAGAAGAGGTTTATTTGCTATAAAAGTACGCTGCTCTGAAAAGGAGGGTGCTCTGCAGGAAGCAGCAGCTGTTCCCACCTCTGTCCTTGCCCCACTAGCAGCCCCCAAGGCTCGGGGCTGTATCCACTCATATCCAGAACTTGCCATGGAGCTGAGGCCTTCCCCATCCTCGAGGAAGAGGCAAAAATGGAAATGTCTTTAAAAGGCCCCAAACAAGAGCCCCTCTGTGGCATCCCCCTGGGCCAGGTGCCACAGGGCAGACACCGTTCCTGGCTGTGCAGGATGGACTGGACCTGGGCCGGTGCCCAAGGCCGGGCTGGACAGGGCTTGGAGCAGCCCGGGACACTGCGAGGTGCCCATGACAGAGGGTTGGAATGGGATGGGCTTTAGGGTCCTTTCCAATCCAAACCATTCCGAGATTCTGTGACACTGTGCAGGCTGGGGACGAGGCGCAGAATTCCTCCTGCAGTGTTCTGGGCACCTCAGGCTGGCACTGGCCCCTCTCCTCCCCCTGCTAGCCCTGGGCTGGGGGGGCACAGCTCCGGCTCCATCCCTGCACACATCTCCAGGTGCTGCTGACCTGGATCCTTGTGAGGCCAGTCCTGCTCCAGCCTGCGGTGACCGCGGCACCGAGCCCGGCTGCACCGGGAGCGCGGGGGGAGCCATGGAGGGAGGGGACGGAGCCGTCCCGCCCCTCACGGGCACCGGCAAGGACGGAGGGAAGGAGAGAGGGCGCCGGCCTCACTGCTGAATAAACGCCTTGGTGCCCGGCTGGTCTCTGCTCCGCTACCGGGGCGCGGGGCGGCACCGGGCGGCGAGCACAGAACGGGGGCGGCGGAAAGGAGAGCGACAGCAGCGGGACCGGCCCTGTCCCTGCCCCGGTGAGGGGCTCCCGGGGGGATGACCCTGTTGGAATGGTCCCGGTCCCGGGGGTTGGTCCCGGTCCTGGTCCCGGAGGGGTGTGATCGGTGCTGGGGGTGTGGCCGGTCCTGATAGGATGTTCCCGGTCCTGGGGGGGGTGTGGCCGGGCCTGGAAAAGTGTGGTCGATCCCGGAGGGTGGTCCCGGTCCCGG